GTGTCGCGCTTTCGCAAGTTCCAAAGATCGTCCTGGGTAAGGAAAGTCTTGTAACCCTGCTTCATCAGAGGTGTCATCCAACCAAATGTCAAGACGGAGAAGACGTCTGCGTATTCGTATGGACATTCATCGTCGTCTCCAAGCATGTCGTAGTCGCTCAGGCGCTTCGGAACCAGCCATTCCAGAATGAAAGATAGTCCGGCCAACCCAACGCTAGCACAGAAGACTGCGAAGTATGCCACATGTTCACGATGCACCTGTTGTGAAACGAGGGAGCGGAGCTTGACGGCATATGCGAGGAGCAGGAAGAGCCAGTAGAAGAGGACCACACCGTTGGCATTCCGCGAGCGCCAGTGTTCGATGTATTGGATGTAAAAGACGACGCCGAGTGAGACGATGGTGATAATCGATGTCCAGAAACGGAAGTCGCCGGCCCATACGTCCTTGTAGTACTCGATCTGGAGCGCGGCTTGTACGGCCGTAGTGGCGATGAGGGCGCCGAGGGATATCTGGAGGCGCAAAATGTTAGCAACTGTTCAGCTGAGTCACCTGATGGTCTCAGAATGTTTTCCGTACCAGCTTCGCGTAAAAGTGCCAATTGCGCTTTACAGGCTGAGGCGGGCACTTCCTGTAGAGATACCACAACGCGCCGGCACCTCCCACGATCCCAAACACTCCGACGACGGCTATCCACACATCCAGGAAACACGGTGTGAAGTCGTATCGTATAGGGCTGATCGGGCCCCAGCCCTCGCTATTACCGCATAATGGCTGCCGGTCGTGCTTCGAGGCTGTCAGATAGCCGTGCGCGAGCGGGATGCTGGGGAGAAAGGGCGTCTGTTGTTGGCCCTGCATCGATCGGATGGTGCTTGTGATTGCCGGGACTCTGTGTATCGCAGAGTTGAGGCAGATCAGGGCGTCGAAAGCGGCGAGAAGGTGTTGAAGCGGTCGCGGCGCGAGTGCACTTTTGAGTAGAGAGCTCGGGCCGTCGGTATGATATAATCATTGCTGCTTACTAGCCCTAACTCCCGATAACGCCGCAAGCTAGGCAGCCAGCTAACGTCCCATATGTGGTAATAGACGATGCGACGACATGACGATATGAACAACCTGAATCAACTAGATTCTTTGTATAAACGATCCCGCGCGGCATAACGGTTGTGTGGCTGTCGTGTGGAGGCGCGTACCTAGGTACCGTCGCCGCGTGCAACACTGCCGCAAACGTCGCGAACCGATGGGCCGGTCTTTGTCCGATCCCCATCCCGGCGAACAGGTTCGCAGAAGTCAGAACACCAGATCACGTGTGCATGCCATTTCCAACTACAACCTGCGCGAGTACTGGAGAAGTTGTTCATCACCAACTCGCACCATAAGGGTCAATGCTGACCTCGTATGGCCATAGTGGTGGGGCACTTCATGCCCGCCCAAAGCCTCCTGCTTCGCTACCTAATCATCCACCGGTTTCATTGACTAAAGTCTATATGGACAAAGGGCATTGTTCATATCGAGGAAACCTGCCCTTGTTCAGTCCTCTCGCACACTTGGTGATTTGATGTTCTCCGCCTAACAGTCCATCTCAGTACGGAGCGCAAATAATAGTCTAGCTCGCAGTCTAGAGCCGAAGACGCCGGCAGTTTCTACACTACGAGGATCAAGACATGATCATCGACAATCTGAAGTGCTTTGATAGTGTTAGAATACTAATGTACAAAGGGAAGCTAGTTGAAACAAGATCGGTTTCTGCGCACAGCGTGATTTATTCTCTTTCTCTATAGTAAAGTATGCTACATGCGGTGTACTGAGTAGACAAAGACCGGCGATGCCATGCGCAGGATATGTTACCACTTAGCCAGAGCACTGGTAGTCATAGCTCCTGCGGGAAAGATCTGTATCTTTCGGTACCCAAATTCTAACCCGGTTCCCAGTAGACTCAAGAGTGCCTTCGTATTCGTCAAAGAGTGGACGCCAATAGATTTGACCTGTGCCGTCGGGGCAGTCGACGTTGATGGTGATCGACACAGTATTCGTCATGCTAACCGAGTAGCCCACTTCGATTCCGGTCTCTGCACTGATTGCATCCCATGCACTTGCGCCAATACTAGCGGATGCGCTGACCGAAAACGTTTCAGTCCTCGACTCCGAAACCTCGAAAGCGCCGCCATCTGGCAATGTTCCAACGTGTACCGCTGTTCCAGGCTTGTAGCTGTCAATCCGTATGATTACATCTGAGAATCTGTCCGCTTGCTGCAATGTACCTGGTTAACTTCTGAACAGAAAAATATTACAAGGCTAGAACACATACTCGGCTTTCTATCTCATTGGCTTCTGATGTAGCCTCATAGAAGGTACGAAGTTCAGCTTTCTCCTCTTCGATAGAGATCTCCTTGTAGCCGGACTCTGTGGACAACCGACCCCAATCTGTGTTGAGCCTGATAGCGACCTCCGTCCAGAGTTCAGGTGCAGGAGGGTACTGGTAGCCGCCATCATTGGGTGCGCAAGCGGCTTCGATGTCTCTGGCTCTGTCACCCCATGTAGAACGAGAGTAGCAGACATCTGAGGGTTCATTGTTGCAGAACGAGATGCGACAGTTTCCTTCGGTGAAGATGCGACATGCGTTGGCGAATATGCAGAGGCTATCAGACCCTTCGAAGAGTCCTTGATACTTATCATTCATGATTGTGCTGCCTGTTTACGAATAGAAAAGGTTAATTTACTTTTGACGGTGGAAAGGTCAGGGTCAAAGAATGAGCGAAGACTTACAGTCAGCCCAAACAGGGGTGTATTGAGAGTCACAATAGAGGCCACCAGTTTGTTCTCCGTTCCAATCGTCTTGTCGATGCTCAAGGGCTGCGGGAGCTCCCATAGCTGGATGAGCCACCATGGCCGCAAGCATTGGCAGCAGTGGAAGATTGTATTTCATCTTTGCGATGAGAATAAGTTCGAGTTTGAAACAGAGAATCGTCTTGCGAGTAAACCAATTGATCTGAGAAGTAGATGTTGGACTGTGATGGCCGTAACTGAAGCAAACATGCGACTCTTTATACCTTATGTACCAAGCTATTGTCTCACTCGCATCTGCATATCGGGAATCCTAGCTGACTCTATCATCCACATTTTCTGATGAAAGAAAAGGCAAACATCACTCGCATCCGTGTATCTAGACTCTTGGCTGGCTCTTCAATCCGTGTTTTCCGATTGAGCACGAGGTATACTGGATGCCTAAAAGCAGTCACTGAATTCTGTAGGCCATTGCTATGTCATCATGAATAGCTTCGATATCGTGTATGGCTGTGTTCCAATGAAGCCAACACTCAACCTTGTGGTGTGGTACTTGGCTTTCGTTGGCAATCTCAAGGGTCAACAGCTTAGGATATTCCTTCGCTCAGCTTCCCGAGGCCGTGATACCCGAATTTCCTGTTGAAGCCTACCTGGATAAGATTAGCAGAAAGGGAGGGAACGCCTGACTTTATAATCTCATGTGTTCCCTGGAAAAGTCCGTAGAGTTTGGCTGTATCAACAGTGACAGCATGTCTCGTAGTGTTTCAAAGGTTTAAACGATACCCGTGTGTTCCGTGTATAGTCCTTACGGAGAGACTACTAGGGATATTTTCAGTAGCAGTAGTAACAGTGATGAGCGGAAACAAAGCTACTACCAAGTAAAGTTCAGTTCTCTTTGTTCTCATGGAGTCTTACCCAAAGGAAACTACTCCATGTGGGTGAGCATATTATCGTTCGTTTCCTAATGATGAGAAAGGTTTAGCAGGTTTCCCAAGCAATACGAGATAATGATTAATGTAGCAAGACTCCTCCGTGTTGAAGTAGTAGCTCCACAATTAGGAGTTCAAGCGAACCAGAGGGCTATATGCTGACGCATTTTAGGCTCATTGGAAGCCTATCATACGTTGACGGACATGGAGTAGGATCGAGATCATTGTCAAGAACCAGAATCAGAGCTGATATTATTACCAAAGAGAAAGAAAACTGAAGCCAAAATCACGATCACCCATTCGTCATGACAAGACCTGCCAAGCGATGCGGCTCCACGAAGCCTTGGGACCGAGTGTACATTGTCCCGAAGAGGAAATTGATACACGTCGGGCGTAAGATATTTCTCTTTTCCGGGGTGCCTGTTGCTACGTGAAGGCATGCAATTTGCCGCAGCCACCAACTCGAATACCATGAAGGCGGCAGCGGCTACGCCCGCATGCCGTCTCAACCGCTTCGGAACTAAGCGAGATGCAGCCCGTCAGGGAATTGATGTGGGGATCAGTATTGAAAAGCGACATCCAAACCCTACTGTTTGCTAGGCACATTACTGAATTGGGTTTGAAGGACCCATTTTAGCTGCGCATACACTCAGAATGTCTCGGCTGTCCTTATCCGCAGGAGCCATGCACCTGTCTTCGCGGTTATGGCGGATACCGTGATGTCCTCACCTCTTGGCTGACATATTATTGCATTGTACGTGCACATACAATGAAGCTGGTATACAGCAATACAGTAAGCCTCCACAGCCTAGAGCATATCATCTTCGGTGCTTTGGTGTATTGCCCAACCTACCTCCAACCCTAGCTATGCTAACAGCGATTGCTAGATTCGGTCTGCTACCTGCGGCAATCCATTTGCTTCTTTCTACTTCATGTTACGCACAAGCCTTGAACGACTCCTCTCCGGAGTACTGCTACAGCCATGCCGTCAACTCGACTGGTATGGTTCGTCTAGGCCCGGGCCCAGCACTTGACGATCCATGGTACCTCAGTCTTACCATAACTGATAGACGCGACCCTATGCACATTTACGGGAGCAGCGCTACCTGGCAACAGCTAGAAGGCTATCTCAGTGTTCCCAGTTCGCTAGAAGGGGGTCAGGAAAGTAATCAGACAGACTACTGTATGTACATGCTTCCACCACATGATGCTGCATCACAAGAGGAAGCTGGAAGCTGCAGTGGCGTGCTGAGCGACGAGTGCATATTCGCGATGCAACACAACACGCCATCCATGTGGAATGGCGAGTGTCGTCAGTCGAGCAATCTCGAAGAAGTCTGCGGATCAAGTGCCCCTTTTGCGACCAGTAAGTTGTCCACCTTCTTTTCAGCAGCAGCATTGTCCTGCATTACCCGTCTGTTCGTACCGGAATCTTTGCTAACAATGCAAAAGGCATGCCTTGGAACTTCACCAGAACAGGGTGTGCTTTGACCGGGCTCCCGCACATTGATGTACCGGACGACTATCGATCGTACGGCCCTTTGCCCATGTCTGTGCTGCGCGGCGGAGATGATCGGGAGAATTTCGATCTTTATGACAAGAATGTTCGCGAAGCAGTGCCCATGGCGTTTACGATCAGAGATTCAGGTGGCGACATCGAACACAGGGTCCTTTGCTTAGCTCCAGACAACGTCGTCGAAGGCAGCCGTGTGCCGCAATCCGCTGCGGTATACTCAGTTACAAAAACTTCACCCCAAGTAGCCCTCGCTGTTATGGCTCTTATGTTCGTCTCTTCTGCCGCTTGGTAAACATCAGCTTCTATACCCGATTCAATAGACCATGCAAGTAAACAGACCTCTTACCATAGGCAGCCCGGCTTGCACCTCAGCTCAGTATCTCTACCTGACTGTTCCTCCGTCGAACCGGACTTTCTATCCGCCTCTCTCTTCGCTTTCATGTTACCCCAAGATCCCTAACCATCAACTTGAGCACGCGCTGATCGCTTACGACCGGTAATTTCAGGTCGAGCGAGGAGCTTAGACTAACGTGGATCATACGATCCCACACTCCGACTTATATGTTTATTTCGCCCTTTCACCCCCCGCCTTTCTGCCTCTTAGCCCTTCATACAGCTTTTCTAAATGTATGCTGCCTTAGGCGCATACCGTGGATACCAGCTCCAATCAATCTACATCACAGACTCAAAGTACATGGTCACCGCAGCCATCTTAAGCTTCCTAAGCATCATCGCAGTCTGCGCAACATTTTACGGATGATGGGAACTAGGAAGGCCTTTTTCCATGGGTCCATTAGAACTAGCATCGGCGTTTGAGGCGCCGCTACTGAAGACCGCTGGTGAAGATGCGAGTTTGGGTGACAATGCGCATCGAAGTACCGCACGCGAACCACGCGTGCAGTTTGGTGAGAAGGTGATGAATGATGAGGGGCAGTTTCCGTCCAGCACAGCAAGTCGAAGGTTGGTTTTGGGGTTGGCCACAGATGTGCAGAGGCCGAGGAAGGGCACGATGTATAGCTAGGTAGTTAAGAAGCAAGATATCCCCAGAGGGGACTAAGACTGATCCGACGTTCCATCGAGATATCCATCGTGTCAACGTAGGATCATGTTCACGTGCTACGCGTTTCGAGCGACGCGACTTTTCGTGACGTGAACGCGTTGGGGCTCCACGTGGCTGCGCGCTGCGGCAAAGGCGCATCACCAACACCGCGTCTGCCGCCGACCAAGATGATCGACAACCTCTACACGACTGACGCCATAATTGGAGGACAAAGGCGACAACAAGATCTTGACGGACGCATGCATCTTCTTCCACCGTGCGTGAGCGAGTATACCGAAGCAACTCTGCGCATCACGTTCACTATGCCGAAAACCTCCATGACCATGCCAATGGCAGCGAAGACCCTAGCGTATCACATACAACATCCGACAGGCTTCGTACAATAGGGACAGAGACATGCTTGCAACGTGTAAGCCAATGCCAACTCATACAAATTAAATCCAAGGTTCGACCGACGTCGGCCCACTTAGCGACACGCGTGCAGACACTGCAAGTCGAGAACCGTACCCGCTAGATACCAAAGGGCCCACGACCCACAACTCCGGCTTAGTACGCGATACAGTGGCGGTTTGCAGCGAATTTTGACCTCCTCACTAATGTAGAGTCGCCATTCGAGTTGTCGGCTTCATCTATCTGAACATCCACCATTTCCTTCACATACGACCATAGGACACTGAAAATTAGGCTTCCCGTCCGCTCAGCCATATACAAGCAGTGTACCGGCGGATTAGTAGTTAGGTGGGTGACCACTAGCGAATCCCCGCTGTTGTGTGTTTTTGATTTTTTTTGTACATCCACAACTCCAGTTTGGCACGCAATACGATAGCGATGGGCAGCGACGTCCGCTATGCGCATGTTGGTGTAGAGCTGTCATTTGTTTTGATGGTTTCATATATCTGACTAACCACCATTTTCTTTACATATGATCATCGGACACTGAAAATTAGAACATCGTTCCGACTCATCAAATATCAAGATACCGTATTAGGGTCATATAGTGAACATCAAGCAACCATAACCAGCTCACTATCCTTAGGTGTAAGGATCTCACTGAGATTAGACGGCTGAAATCGTGTTGAATTACAAATTTATCGCAGTGCGGAAGTAGGTCATTAATGCGAATAGAAAGAAAGTCCTAACTCCGGCGAAACCAACCCTTCTTCTTCATTGTCCCACCCAAGTACGCCACAACTTCACGATGCTTCTTCGCCTGCGCAAGATCCAACGGAGTCTTGCCCTGACGATTCTGTACATTGATCGTAGCCCCATACTCTAGCAGCCCACTGACCATTACACTACTCCCCAGCTTCGCGGCCTCGTGTAGCGGCGTCGATCCAGAGTAGTCCTCTGCATTCACGTTCGCGCCTTCTCCAATCAATTTGTCGAGTATACTGAGCATGCAATCGACATGTGTATGCACAAGAACGTGTAGAATACTTCGGCCTGTGAGATCAGTGCGATGAATGTCCTCCCTTGCTCCGTAGTCTTCAAGGAGTATGTTCACTATGTCGACGTAGCCCATTTGTACTGCGTAGAATAGCGCGCATGTCATGCCGTCAGCACGTGAGTGTACGTTTGCACCACGTTCAAGGAGGAGGGTGATGATGCCGTAATCGCCGCTTTCGAGCGCCATGGCTAGAGGCTTCGCACCAGCTTTCCCGATGGCTTCGATGTTGGCTCCCGCATCTAGGAGTGCAACGACAGCGAATCTCTGCTGCAGCAAGATTGCGAGATGAAGTGGTGTGTTTGCGTCCTCATCTTCTAGTTCCGTCTCGGCTCCATGCGCTAAGAGCATTGGTATATGCCAGCCTAGGAGATCATAGTGTGTGACTGCATCGTGGAGTAATGTACTCCGAGCATTCGCTGACTGGTCATTGATGTTTGCGCCTGCTGACAAGAGCTGTCGAAGCGATAGCGCGTTATTGAACCAGAGCGCGTATCTGAGAGGGGTGAAATCCGCTTTAGCTGCGAACATTGCCTGACGAGGCACGTCAAGTTGTGCCCCATGTTGAATAAGTACCATGGCTAAACGAACATCTTGCGTTCGAGCAGCTATGTGAAGGCCAGTACACCCACTCTTGTCTGTCGTATTGACCGACGCTCCGCAGTCTAGCAGAATTTCAACAATCTTGTCAACCCAAGGTGTAGTGGCATTGTTACTAATGACCCACTTAAGGGCCTTCTCTGGCTCATTTCGATACGATTTCTTTCCCTTGAATCCAGCTTGGGCAAGACAGGCCAAGGCCTGGGCCGTTATCTCTTGTGGCGATGGTCCTGTGTCGTCTTCCATGGTGTACTCATCGATGATATAGTCGTAGTAGCTATGATCTGGATATGGAGGTAGCGGCTGGCCAGCAAAATCGTCTCTGTAGGGTAGAGAAGGAGGATTCGTGAACGGCCCTGGTGGGCTGATTTGGGCCATGCACTCTTCACAGTCGCAAGACGGAATCTGAACGCAGGGCTCTCGATTCTCATTCAGGATACGCTCTCCTTCACAAGACGAACACGTGCACGTATTCAGGCACGACACTACCACGTTCACATCGCTCAACGTCTGCAATGAGAGGCTTACCAAATGGTAGGCGCACGTGCAAAATGCCAGATCAGGCACGAGATCGCCGACTTCGCTGACTGCCTGGAACAGACAACAGACATCACACGGGCAATGAGCTGGCTCCTGTTGACGGGCGAGGGAAAGTGTGCTCTGATACAGTGGCGGTGGCGGAGAAAGTTCGGGTTCGTCTGCTCCATGCTCTCGTAGTACATTGGCTATCTCCAGGTTGCCAATGTTCTCGCTGATATTCAGTGGTGTTGTGCCAACCAAGTCTTTGACATTTGCATCAGCACCAGCCGCCAGCATTCCCAAGATGATTTCTGTTGGCGCATCATGATAGCACGCCAGATGCAGTGCAGTTTGACCACAATCGTCTTTGGTATTGACATCTGCTGCGCCAAGGTAGCGGAGCAGAATTTTGGAAGTCTCTAAGCTTCGTCGATGGATTGCAACGTGGAAAGCGGTCTGGCCTCGAATGCTCGTGATCGTTACATTGGCACCTTTCTTGATCAAGTACTTTACCATACCAGCTCTATGTCTGTTCGCCGAATAATGCAACGCAGTATGGTTGAACACATCGCGTCGATTGAGGATCTGTGGATCCACAAAGAGGGCGTGCTCTATCACATCACGTGCGAGAGAGTCGTCGAAGAAGTTGCTGGCGACAAGCATAACATTGGCTTGGTATCTGTCGAGAGCCTCAGCCGCGATCAGACCAGTGATTTCATCTCTCCAGTTTGGGTTTTTCTCCCTCGCAAGGGCCATGTGAGATTCAAATGCGCCGTCGTCGGCTACAAACGCTTCCGCAAGACTGATGGTAAGAGAAGAGTCTTCTTCATTCGTGGGTTCTGCAGCCTTTGGTATATGCACAAATCGCAAGTGAGTGGCTTCGTGCTCATGATCAGTACGTTTGCCTGTGCGATCCCTGGCTATGTGTTTTGCTTTCGTTACTTGCACCTCCGGTATGTCGGCACGAGTTTTATCCAAATCCTTGGTCTTTTCCGTACCGGGCGTTGTCGGTCTTGGGTAGTTGTCTTCGGTCACAGCCGCAGGTGTGGCGCATAAGGGTACATTTGTATCGTTCCCGACGTTGAGCCATATAGGGTGCGACTGACCGACACCTCCCGCGGGATGATGACCGAAATGCTTCGGTACATGGGAAGGCGTATGCTCCGTCTCTTCAATACTCGTGGGAGGTGCCTGAAGTGTCACGTCACTGCCGATGGATGTATTCGTAGTGTCGTTGATGACGGTAGGTGCGTCCGACATGCCATTACTCAGTACGGTCGTCTGAAAGGTCTCATCTCCTGACTGCGAGCCTTCCCAAGATGTTGTGTCACTTCCGTCTCCAGTCATACCCTCACTTGCACAACATGGACCGCTATAATGGATTCCCTTGGCTTGTTCCTGTGCTATCATCGTTTGGAGATCTTGAGCTGTGAGTCTTAGTTTAGGATTACTGGCTGTCATGTTACCGGTCCATTGTAACAAGGGCTGATCAATCGTTGATCCATCCGACAGCTCGGCTATCCAACTCTGAATTGCCTCTGGGTTCTGCCAATAGTTCGTTGAGAGTGTCCCTTTGGTTTGGAAGAATTCAGCCTTCGAGCGCAGTTGTTTCTTGGTAAGAACAGTCTGAAAGTGTCAGCAGTGTTGAAACATACGTACAAGCGATTTGTAACGTACTGCAATCTCCAGATAAATACATCCCAGAGACCATACGTCTGATGCGGTATTACGAGGTTGCAGCATGCCAACCTAAGATAGTGTTAGCAAACATTTGGTTTAACGTGTGTAGCTGAATTCACTTCGGGTGCGATGTATGCCGGTGTATAAGCCTCGGGTTGGCCCATCGTAGTCTCTCGCTGCGCCTCAGTCCAGTCTAAGGCGAGTCCAAAGTCTGCTACATACACTTGCTCGCCTTTGATGAGAATATTGGAGGGTTTGAGATCTTTATGGCGGCATTTATTATGGTGAAGGTAGACTAGAGCGGAGCACAAGCATCCCACAAAGCCCCGAAGGACGACATAGTCTTGTGTAGTCCATGTATCTCGGGTCAGATATTGTTGCAGATCGAGATCAGCTACTGGTTCCATGATGATGCCAATGTATCTTCGATCAGTGTATGAACTGACACGTTGCTTGTTAGCAGCGTACTGTACTTCGGCTTGCCCAAACTCACCCCAGGAGCTTCACTAGATGATGATGTGACAGTCGCTTAAGGTTATGGACCTCATTCTCAAAGGACAGAAGCTTCTTGCGGTCCTTCGAAAATGTGCCACTTCTTCGATCGATGCGTTTTAGCTGTTACTGATGAGTTAACCATCTAGCAAAACACATTCCAAGTCCTTACAGCGTATTCCATCAAGTCAATCCTGCTTTGAACACGATGGACGATGCTGAAGCCGCCTTTTCCAAGCTGCTCCTTGGTGACAAAATAAGAATCTGCTCCTTTGTCTGGTGAAAGTCAGCAGGGAACGGTTTATAGAACTGTAGCTTACCAAGGTGATGATGACGGCCCCCTTGCACAAGATCGACTGATCTTGAGCTAAGTACATACCGTTGTTGCCGAAGAAAGCTTTGCCTGGAAGCAGCGGATTTGAGACTGGAAGTGAGGTCAACTTCAGTGAAAGGGAAGTGAATATCCTTGAACCCTTCGATAATGAGCATGTTCATCGCTCGTACTTCGTTGATCATCCGGAGAACGAGATACAATCTGGGCCGTACGCTCCACTCATGCTTTCCAAGTATTGCGAGTAGTTCGCCAACCCCCAGAATTGTCTCGTCGTTGTATGGCTTATCGGTACCCATACGCTGGGCAGACGCGGTCGATAAAAGTGACGATAACCGCTCCTCGAAATCTTCAGCTTCTACTTGCAGACTAGTCGTAGTCGTATCTAAACACCGCGTGGCAGGTAGCACTGGTGAGGGCAACTTATTCGTTTCCGGGCTCAAGGCGTTCACTTGCGAGATTGCTGGAGGGGTCGGGGTGGTCGGCATGCTTGCAACACGTTTCTCCACTCTTGGCATCGTCGGCGTTGACAGCACCTTCGAGGCTGGGCTTTGGTCAATTGGCGGATCCCCTCCTGCAGGCGGTGTTTCGCGGCCCTTGCCAGCCCTTCGCGGTGGTACAGGAGGGCGGGTTTTGTTGATGATAGGACGTGAGCTCTGCGTCTCCTCGAGTATAGACGTAATCTGGTCGAGTCGCATTGTGGCTTGACGTCGGACTCTTGCAGAACTATGCTGGAATTCTTGCATCTCGCTTAGCAGCACTGTCTGCTCTTTATCTCCTGGCGATACTAGGCGTTCGTTCAGCAATTTTGCCATTTGCTCTAAGGCCACCTCGAGTTTACTGATCTGAGCTTTCAGCGTTGCGGCATTGAGAGCATCACGTTCAGCGATCTGCATTTGTTTGCAACTAGAAGAACTCGTCAGCCATTGCGTTGGTCGCTCAAAAAGGGTCGACATACGTTGTGACGACCTGGAACGCCAATTGAATTGAGCTCTTATGATCTTGGAAGTTGCGCTTGATGTGTTGCAGGTCATCCGAGCGTCTATCAAGCTTCAGTTGAAGCATGCCTTGTCTTAGGCGGCCGGTAGCCCCTGAGATATCAAGGTCGTAGAGGAGCTTGCTGAGTCTTTGAGCCTCGCGCTCGCAGCTTCGAAGAGCTCGTTGGAGACATTCTAGCAAGTTGACCTGCGACTCGCCCTGCACTTCTTCCACCGCAGCGACGAAATTTGGGGCCTTGAGAACGCGATGTATGTTATCAATCAGGTCGCAAACGGCCTCTGAATCGGCTCGGAGTTCATCCAAGGACTGATGAACGCTACCCCCCTTAGAGTACGCGTCCTTCAACTGTTGAACTGCTGGACGGAGGATCTGTATGACCGTGAATGCAAGGCCTATGATGCTGATAGGGTCCGCCATATGAGGCAATTGATGATGGGAGATTAAAGGGACTTGATCACGGAAGATATCAAGGCTGCGCTTCAACATAAGGCCTGGTGCACTACTTATCCTGTGGTGCACAGCCCCACAACCGAGCAACACATCGAAGCTGAATCCATAGCCATACATCTCAAGTCTATCTTTAGGCAGCTTTGCATAGAAGCCAGGCAGAGTGATGCTATTGGCAGGGAACCAAACTCGACTGCAGATATGAGCCGCTCTAACACTAACCGCTGCACTGTCAAAAATAGGGGGGCCGAGACCGAGTGGTAAGGAGGGTTGCTCGCGGAGATGATTGACCAAATAGCGCATTCTCTCTTCTACTCTTTAGCAAGGAGGCTTGCCAAGACGCATCGAGACAGACATGCAGGAAGGCCACCGACAAGGAGTTGGGGGCTGATGACAAGGCTGAACGATAGCCTTCTTTGGGGAGAAACCCACCCCCTCACTGAGTGGGCTTTGCCGCTCCAAGCGACACCCTGAGTTGTCTCCATACTTCTGCATCCAGGCCCTGTCGAGGAGACACGGCTCCAGTACAATGGCATTCTCGGAGCACCTGTAAGCCGTTGGGTTGACGATACGCTTTGGAGTACCTACCTTGCACATAAATATGGATTCTTTAGGATCCACACGTTGTATACTGAACGCGATGGATTGACCAGTGTCTTTACAGCGCACGCCAAACATGATAGTTTATGTCCTCAAGTCACGCCAAACTTGATGCAGGAGTCTTACACGTCCAGGTGCATCAGGTGATCTCTGCGCTCAGCCCAGCAGTAGCGAGAATTCGCACGTGAAAACTCTTGATAATGTGTCGCGTAAGCAGCCACTAAAATCGGGCCATTGTGTTGAGGATCAGACGATAGTAGAGGGTAGGTACTTCGAACATCACTTATCCAACCAGAATTTTCCGACCAATCGTGGCATACTCGAATGCGGTCTTGCTCCAATCTTCCGTCGTATCCAGCTCTCTTGGTGTGGGTTGAATTGCAGATGTAGCGATGAGTGTGTTGAAGACATCCCGATATTCACGACGCTGTCATCTGTGCGGTCCGCTTACGTCGAAGGTAACAAGTAGAAAGCGGACAACGTCACGGCCTGGGTGGTCCATGGGGGCTTCTCGATGCGCTTGTACACGCGGAGCTCGGTTTCATGTTCGATTATAGCTTACTGGTCTGGCGCCTGCCACACGTATGGGTATGGCCAGTAGACACAGCGGAGTCTTATCAGCGATACGCACTAACGTGCACACACCCTGCTCTATCCAATCAAAGTGTTTCGATCGAACCGCTGCATGGCTACTTTAACATCATTGAAACATTATATAGTGAACGCGGGGCTGTGTTCTCCGGCCATAGCGACTCAATACCTACAAACGGGCCTGGGTGTTCCCAAGTCAATCACCGAGAACAGGAGATTTGGGGACATTCATGGTGATCAGACGAGAGCGGGCTAGGCTTCCTGTCCGCTCAGCCATAAACAAACAATGTACCAGCGGATTAATAGTTTGGTGGGTAACCACTGGCGAACCCCCGCTGTTGTATGTTCTTGACATTCTTTCTGCACATCCCATCTCACTCCAAGACGTCTTCACCGCACGTGAAACACCACCTCAGATTCGCCTCGACTTCTGTGCATCTGCACCGCCTCGCCGTACATCATGCCATGCACATAAGCTGGACCAATTAGCCAATAGCCGTCGACTTTCTTTCGCAGGATGAAGGGCAAGTCGCTCCCCCTTACGACCACGACGATGTCTTCAGGTTTCATGCAACGAGGCCCTAGACCCATGAATCCAGCTGCTGTGATGAAGAAACGACGGTCCTTACACATCCACACATCCACAGTTTTAAGCACTGCTACTATCTTCTTGTGATCAACGGTTGGTCTAACGCTGACACCGTCTGAAATGATACCATCCTCACGAATAGCCAAGCCCTTGATGTACTCCACCAGCACCTGTAAGTCATCCGGCTGTGCTTCTGTTCCGCTTCTCGTCTTCCCGATTACCACTGTAGAAGCTATGGCTAAATCGACTTTCTCTTGCATTGCGATGTTAGGATCATGTATAGTCATGTCCTTAATTGATCCTAGCCATTGATGAAGTCCTTCATAGTCGTCCCAGATACGTTGGTGACAGACGATGGTTGTTTGAACGACTTGGTCAACCGCTATCCCTTGGAGTAACAGCACAGTTTTGTCAAAGGATACGTCGCTGAGCAAGGAAGATGCTTCGAGGCCCTTGCAGGCGTGAAATCTATCAGGCAGAACGGCAGCATCTCCAGGCTGGCGCACCAGGTCTGCACGAACAGTCCATGTCGAGAAGGTTTGAAACTCCTCTAAAACATCAACCTGGTGATTGATATTGCACAAAACGTTCGCGTGGCTGTCCTCGCATAATGCATACCTCGTAGCATCTCGCAACACATCAGGAATCGACTTCGTATAATCAACTTTCAGCAATGCCACCCCATCATCTCCTAGAGCATTGTCCCTATCAATAATTCCCAGAATGGCGTAAGCACCATCCCTAGCCTCAGTCTTCTCGAACCGCCGAGCCAACTCTAACATCGTGCTCAGAGGTCTATAATTCGAAAAGCGACTATAAGTACGGTCGACATATCTGAGCATCCTGGTGGTACATTGATACCCACCACAATCACTCAGGGCCTTAGGAACGAAAAAGCACTTAAAAGCGAGCCACTTTGCAGCTCTTACTGTGTCCAGAAGATCGAATTCGGAAGTACCCCAATGGCAGGTACTAGACGTTGCGAGAATGACTTCTTGCAATACCCATAGGCGTCTTCGATGGTTAACGTCAGTCCCGAAAGTTCTTGGAAGTTTGGTGCGCGCCCTTACCTGAACCAAGAGATGCTGAAGAGAGCCTCGAGAGCCTCGAAATCAACGTCTTCGCTGAATCCTTCGTTCGACGCCAGAATAGAGCCTATTCCTTTGGCATGGATGGTTTGAGATAGCAGGGTCATGTCAGCGGTTGCCGTGCGCATATCGGTAACAACGTCTTGAATCGCCTTCACACCTCTTCTCGCCATACCGTCATCTTCGCCTAGGTATACAAGGTTACGTATTCCACTGCGATAGACTGTCGACATGAAAGCCACCTGCTCACTACGTTCTGTTACCGATGACTGATCGATACAGACGGCGTCAATCCAAAGTGTTCGCGGTCTGCCACTGAGTCGCATGCGTCTTAATGCGGCCTCTGAGCTTGCTGGTACGGGTGTCAGATGCCCATTGAGCCTTATCGTAGAAGGAGGTCGAGGTGGTCCCCAGCAATATGAGATGGTCTCGTATATTGGCACGAATTCGTGGCGGAGGGAAATGCGTCTCATGGTGCATTCAACGAGTTCATCACCTATGCCAGGCGCAACTTCCAGAACGCGTATTTCTTTGAGGTCAGAATCTAGGGGCTCGTATTGCGACAGAGGATGGGTAGTGATTTGCGTAGACGTGGCTGTCTTTCTTGGAAAGTGCTTCGTCAACCAACGCTCAGGAAATGACGACATCGTTAGTATATTGGAAAGATGAAATGAATTGTAGTGGGCTTTATCGAGCAAACCGACCAGGCTGAAGATGAGATGCGCGGATGACACATTACCCACAGGAAGGCTGAAGCTCCTGGCTTCTTCCCACCAATCGCGCGTCATCCTAAGCCACCACCACATTTAGCCCGGCAAGGCATGATAAGCAGGTGCAAGCCTTTCGAGAATCACTTCTCCTGGTCGTTAACGCCTTGCTATACCGATGGCATGAGCCTAATGCCTAGGCATTTGGGTATACCTACCTAGGTACGTGATCGTCACCCAAAGACGCTAGCCCGAAAACGTCGCGATGCGGGGCTGGGTCATCTTCCTGACGCGTCTACAACGCCACCAACCACTTCCATCGCATCACACGTAACACGTCTTAGTGCGCCCCGAAAAGCCTCGTCTTCCACAGATACGCAGACAGCTATGGCTGTAGTTTGCTGGTCATGGCTCTGCCTAGCCTCGACGTTCGCTGTTGCAGCGGCAGCCAATCCTGGACTAAAGTACATCATGTACTTGACAGGGTAGCGCTAGAGATCCACGATCATTAGGAGACGCGACATTGCTGATAGTTATCAGGCAACATAATGTAGTTCCAGAGCGGTCACTAGTTGCAAACATTACCGAGGTTGCTCTTGCTTTCATGCGCTCAGATACTTTCAACGTTCCAGATCAGCATGACTGGCCGCTATTCACAAGTATCGACGAAGTTCGACCCAAGTTTTCTGCAGGTACCATCATCCAAGTTGCAATTGGCGGATGGGGAGACACAGATGGTTTCTCAAAAGCAGCCAAGACCGAAGAAAGCCGGAAGCTATTTGCTAGCAACGTCAAAGCAATGCTTGACGCGACAGGCGCTGATGGTATATTGCAACTTATGGTTCTCCAAGGTTGAACCAGACGCTTATCAGTACAGGTATCGATGTAGACTGGGAGTATCCAGGCGGCAACGGCGAAGACTACAAAACACCTGGTCACCTCAACGCTGACAAAGCCTGGGAAATTGATGCGTATCCTAAACTTCTCGCCGAAATCCGTTCTGCCATAGGCCCAGAGAAGACCATCTCGGCAGCTGTCCCTGGGCTACCACGCGACATGCTCGCTTTCACCCCATCTAACATCCCCGCCATCATGGAGGCCGTTGACTACCTAAACATCATGACATACGACCTGTTCAACCGTCGCGACAACGTGACAAAGCATCATACTGGTATTCAGAACTCTCTTGAAGCCATCGACGCGTATCTCGATGCCGGTGTACCGCCCGAGAAGGCGAATCTTGGGTTGGCATTCTACATCAAATGGTATAAAACGGCTGCCAACTCAACGTGCAACACCAATGCCATCGGCTGTGCGACTGAACTCATGGAAGACCCCATTACAGGCGCCGACCTAGGCAAATCTGGTGCGTTCTCATGGCATGATGCCGTTCCT